GTGCTCAGCAATGGAAAAGCCAGCCTCTCGGTGCTTGTAAATGCCTCCACAGGCCATCTTCTGGTGCCCATCGAGACTCCCAGAGGTTTGGGTCCAGCAGGTGCTGGCTTACCACCTCTGGCCACTCCCAGCTCCCAGCCATTTCTTTTGGCAACTATTGTGGCAAGAGATGCAGACTCCGGGGCAAATGGAGAGCTCCTCTACAGCATCCGAAGTGGAAATGAAGCCCATCTCTTTGTCCTCAGCCCTAATCTGGGGCATCTATTCATCAATGTCACTAATGCCAGCAGCCTCATTGGGAGCGAATGGGAGCTGGAGATACTRGTAGAAGACCAAGGCAGTCCCCCCTTGCAGACCCGAGCCCTGTTGAGGGTCATGTTTGTCACCAGTGTGGACCACCTAAGGGACTCTGCCCATGAGCCGGGGGTCCTGAGCACATCGGTACTGACTGTGATTTGCCTGACTGTATTACTAGCCATCTTCGGGTCAATCTTGGCTCTGTTCGTGTCCATCTGCCGAACAGAGAAGAAGGACAACAGGGCCTACAACTGTCGGGAAGCTGAGACCACTTATCGCCACCAGCCCAAGAGGCCCCAGAAACACATTCAGAAGGCGGACATCCACCTGGTGCCCGTGCTCAGGGGCCAGGCAGATGACTCTGGTGAAGTCGAGCAGTCCCACAAGGACACAGGCAAGGAAGCAATGACGGAAGCAGGCTGGGACCCCTGCCTACAGGCCCCTTTTCACCTCACACCAACCCTGTACAGGACCCTGCGTAACCAAGGCAATAAGGGGACACTGGCAGAGAGCCAAGAGGTGCTGCCGGATACTGTCAGTCTCCTTTTCAACCATCCCAGGCAGAGGAACGCCTCCCGGGAGAACCTGAACCTTCCTGAGACCCCGTCTACCCCAGGCCAGCCGCGTGCCAGGCCTCTGAAGGTTGCAGGCAGCCCCATGGGGAGGCTGGCTGGAGACCAGAGCAGTGAGGGGACCCCGCTGAGCCCACCCACCTCCTCTGCAACCCTGAGGCGGCAGCGGAATCTCAATGGCAAAGTGTCCCCTGAGAAAGAATCGGGCCCCCATCAGATTCTGCGAAGCCTGGTTCGATTATCTGTGGCTGCTTTTGCAGAGAGGAATCCCGTAGAGGAGCTCACTGTGGATTCTCCTCCTGTTCAGGTACCTCGGGCATGGGCAGCTCTTTCTTTGGTCACCCTTGGACCACTACAAACAGCATCAGATGTCCCCATTTCCCTCCCGTTCCTCACATTCACTCCTTAGCTCACTTAGCACTTTATGATGCTTTCTTTGAGCAGCCATAGTTCAGGGAAGAGCTCTGGGGCCAACAGATCTTTGCTGTGGGATCCTGGGCAAGTTACTTACTGTCTCTGAGCCTTAGTTTCCTTAATGATAAAATAGGAATGATAGTAAGAATATCTGCCTTGTAGAGTCATCCTGAGGATTTGATTAGTTAATTCTTATCAGGTGCCTATTCACAGTGCCTGGCATAAGCAGACACATAGCAAAGATAGTGAAAATGAGTACAGGCTTCAGAGCAAACTTGTCTGGGTTCCAATCCTGGCTCTGCCTCATCCCAGCTGTGACCCGCAGAGAAGTGACTCAATTTCTGTTAAAGATGCCATGTTAATAGCACCCATCTCCCAAGTTTGCTTAAGGATAAAGTGAGTCAATGCACTTAGTGCTTGTAGAACGTATCTAGCGTGTACTTGGTGCTCAGCAAACGATTACTATTACTTCTGCAAAGCATTTCATCTCTGCTTTCCTCTTTCCCTCATCTCATCTGGGCAACCTCCCTATGAAGTAAGCTAGCCTGTCATTGTCTCTGGGTTCAGGGGCTGCATTTGACTTGCCTGAGACCCCAAAACTTACTAGCTGAACCTGAAGAATGAAGCAGAGGAAACCACCTTAGAATTTTGGAGTTAGGTGAGTTAAATTTCAACATGGCCACTTAGGACCTGAGCAACCTTGAGCAAGTCACATCTTTCACAACTGAGCCTCATTTTCTTCATCTGTAAAATGGGAGTCCAACACCGAACTTGCCCTGTTTCTATTCTCAGGAGGGTGAGTTGAAGTGGAATGATACCAAGCTGTCTAGTGACCGAGGATTTACTGCATAGGTGTGGAATCGTCACAGGAATGGTGCCTGATCTCACCCCTGTCTGCTCCTCTGTACTCCAGGGAGTTTTCACTGTGCCAGGCTGCCTGCCCCAGGCACACTTCTGTGTGACCAGGCCATCAGCTCAGGTTTCCTGTGGAGCAAGGACACAGCTTCCTTCCCCCACTCCTTTCCCGGGAAGCCACCTGGAGATGGCTTGGCTGTTTTCTTTGGAATCTTGTTGTGGGTTCTTTGCAGACCCAGAGTTTGCCCAGAGCCATCTACTTATCCATCCATCCATCCATCCATGCACCACTTTTTGAATGAACTCTTTGTGCCAAACACTGTGCTGTCTGCTGGCAGAGAGCAGGCACTATGGGTGACCCCACTGGTAAGATGGAGGAGTCCCTATTTGGAATCAACCTAAGGGTAAGCGAGTAARGTACCAGTGCTCATGTCTTTCCAGGAGCACAGCACCACAGTGGAGTCAAGTCTGAGCTCAAGTTTCAGTCTAGAAATTTAAGCATAATGATATCTGCTCCTTGGACTATTGTAAGGATTAAATGAGATTATATGCTATTGTGGGGGTCTATTAACATGTGATTTAAATACCTTAGTTCATTTATACTTCATAATCACCACATGACCTCCATCTCATTTTTATTTACCCTTTCACTATTGAGGAAACTGAGGCTCAGGATGGTTAAGTAATTCCTCAAGGCCACAAAGATGAGAATTAGGGCAGGAACAGCTTTAGAGTGTGAGTCTGGGCTGTAACTGTGAAGTAGCCCTGGATGACAGAACTTAGCACAGGGCTTGGCATACAGGGAGTGTTTGCCAAATGCCATTTGGGCAAAGGGTTCAGGTGCCTTACCAGGGCTTTGGGGCCTCAGCAAGGAAGTGGGATCTGCCTGAGGAAGCATTGGCACCCTGATCCTCCCAAGTCACAGTGAAATCCCAGTCCTGGCCACCCCTCCTTCCAACATTCCTCTGAGGTTGGCACTTCTGGGCCTTTCCAGGGAGGAGTGGGGGTGAACCCAGAGGCAGAAGCAGCATTTCTAGGAGTAACAACACAAACTTCTTGCATTTGCAAAGGACTTTTAAGTTTTCCAAACCTTCTAATTAATTCTGACAGCTCTTTGAAGAAGGCTAGCCCCGCTTTAGAGATCAGAGATGAGAAACTGAGGTCTGAGTAGGTCAAAAAACCTGCCTGATACAGTGCAACAAGCTAGCAATGATCTTGAACTAGAACTCAGTCTCCCAAGACCTGTTCTTATGACCTCTCCCTCCCATGGCCCTGACATTTCACCCACCTGCTGCCCCCTTTTCTAGCCTTTCTGAAACTCTACCATCTTTCTGGCCTTTTGGCTTACAGTGCTCCTGCTTGAAACCTGCCTTGCCCAGACCCTCACACTCTTTCCACATGGTGAACTCCTGCAGAGACTCTGGGTCTCAGCAGAGCTGTCTGGAATGCGGTAGGAACTCAACGTTTGTTGAAAAATAATAAACTTCCCCCAGTACCACCTCCCTATGTCTTCCCTGCTCCAAGTTGGGTGGGGGCCTCCCCCTGCTCCTGCAGTCTCCCATCCTTTCCCAGCCATGCAGCCCCCACTCAGAGCCCTCTTCCTACCTTCCTGACAGACTGTGAGTCCCAAGGGCAGCAGAGTCTCCTTGTTCTTATTCCATAGCAGGCCCTGTGCCTGGCATGAGCAAGTGATTATTAAAGACTTGTTCAGAGAATGAAAGGGTGAAGAAATGAATGATTAAATGCTATCATTTTTGTCTTCTCTACAATGCAGTCTTACATCTGGCCCACACAAATTGGCCAGAGTGTTAGAATACTGCTAAAAAGGGAAAATAACACTTGAAGACAATCCATATCAAATAATGACTTTATGATCAGGAAATGACTATTTCGCCCCATCCCACGGAGTCCACGAGGAGAGGGGCATTTGGAAGAATGATGGGGAGAGGATGAGCCTGGAGGGTCCCCACGCTCTCCCTTATATACTCAAAGCAGAGAGCTGCCCCCCTCCCAACAGGTCCCTGTCTCCGTCACAAGGGACCATCCCCCCATTTGATCACACAAACATCTGAAGCCAGAGGAAAAACTATAAAAAGAAAGCACCGGCATTGAGGGAAACATCCGGCAAGGAAGTGTGCTGGGTTGGAATTGTGTGGAGTCAACAGATTTTTCCTGTCTTGTAGCAAATCTCCCAGCTGCTGTCCTTACTGCATCAGGGCCAATTCCAGCCCAAACCAAACCACCGGGGAAATAAGTACTTGGCCAAGCCCGGCAGCGGCAGGTAAGCAGCACGTAGACCCCACGGATTTCCCAAGGTCCCCCCTGCCTGCCCCTCACCCCTGCAGCCTCAGTGAGGTGAGAGGATGAGCACATCCTAGACACTCTGGGTGAGTGATGCCGACAGCCTCCACCCCCACCCCGGGGGCCATGTCCTGGGACTGTTGTATTTATAGAATTTACAGGACCCAGAGTCACTAAGGAAATGACTTCATCCTGATCTCTGATTATCTGTCCCTGATGACAGAGGTGCTGTAAATCGGCTTTAAATCTATAACTTCCACCTTTTTTTTTTCTCTTGGCCCATAAGCATGATATGGAAGGCCGTGGATGTGTGGGTGTGCCCCTTTGGGCAATTTCCTAGAGTTGAAGAGAACTCAGGGGGACACCAAGCAGCTGAGTGTGATGGTATACAGTCATCCCAGCTATTTGGGAGGCTGAGGCAGGAAAATGGCAAGTTCAAAGCCAGCATGGGCAATCCTGTCTCAAAATAAAAATGAAAAAAACGGGGCTGGGTTTGTGGCTCAGTGGTAGAGTGCTCACCTACTATGCATGAAGCACTGGGTTCCATCCTCAGCATCACATAGAAATAAAGTATAGATACTGTGTTCACCTAAAACTAAAAAAGAAAAATATTAAATTTTTTTTAAAAAAAAGGAAAAAGAAGACATCTAACCCAATTCCTGGGGAAACTGAGGCTCTCAGTAGTTTGATCCAACTTAGCTATATGAAAACTTGAGCAAATAAGATAATCCCTCAGTACCTCGGTTTCCCTATCTGGAAAATGGAGGCCATACTACTTCCCTTACACTTAAGGATCAAATGTATTCTAAGTCCATAGCCCAATGCCTGGCATTGCACAAGCAGTGCAAAGTCCCTTCCCCTTAAAATAGTTTTGCTCAAGGTCATGTAGCAAGTGAATGGCAAAGTTGGGCCCAGCTCTCAGGGATCCTGATTGGATCCATGCTCTTGCCCTGATAACTTGTATCTTCTTTTTGCAAGGATGGTAAGAGAGTAGAACAAGAGGAAAGTTCAGATTTTCTCTCTGAAGTTTCAATATTCAAGTCTGCTGCAATAAACTGGCAATAGACAAGATTAACAGGAGGAAAGCCATAACAAATTTTTTTGATCATAGTTTACCATGACACAGGAGCCTGGGATTGAAGACCCAAAGACCCAGGGTGAACTACCTGCTCAAGTTTGATAAAGCAGAGATAGCTGTGAGAAATATGAGTGGCCAAAAGGGTCTGAGCTGATGGGAATGACTGAGGGGAAAACCCAGAAAGGCCTGTCTGTTCAGATTCTTCTCAGCCTCTCTATGCAGCATTCTTTCCTTCCAGATATGGGGCAGGACCCTTTCTGGAATGGGGGTCTCATAACCTATAATTAAACAAGGTAGATCAGAGAATGTCTTTATGGCTAACTCTTACATAGAAAGGTGGAGGGAAATAAGAGTAATATTTGGGGGTTTTATGGCTAGCTTGAGGGAAAAGAGGCTCTGGTTTCTATGACCCACCTTGGGAAAGAGGAATTCTAGTTTCTCTGGCTTGCCTCAGGTGAAAATGAGAGGTGAGAGACAAGGAGGGCAGACAGGGTCAGAGAGATACTGCTTCTGAGGCCTTCCCTAACAGGCTCTAACTGAACACCATTCCAGAATTGCTGAGGGCCATTGAATTCTGCATTTGAATTCTTGCTTCATTGCTTAATCCATGGGGATGTCGAGCAAGCTGAAAAATCATCACAAGTCTTGGTTTTCATCATACGTAAAATGGGAATGAATAAAAGAGAACCCTTAAGGGTGTGAAAGGCTGGAATGAGAAGGTGCATGTACCTTGCACAGGATAAGGCCTAACTCAGTCATTGCTCAATCAATACCAGTGATCATTATTACCCACAAACTGGCTACCGCCCCACTGATCTCTTAATAGCAGCTAAAATGGCCATTAGAGGGGTGGGGAACAACTACCAGTAAGGATTCTTAGGCTTTACAGCCTCAGGGAGCCCTCTCACCTGTTGGGATGAGGGTCCAGGCCTCTTCTCAAGGGACTATTAGAGGGAGGGAGAATTCATGAGGTACCGGGGCCAGGGTGAGCCAGCAGGAGACTGGGGTGCAGATGGTAGATTTCAGCAGCTTGAAGACACCCAATCTCAGCTCTATCCTCCATAGACCTGCTCCTCTGCTCTAAGATTTGGCTTAAATAGGGAGGAAGGACCATTCAAAAAATGCTTTATTAAGTACCTACTGTGTGCCAAGCCCTGTTCTGGGCACTGGTGAGAGAACAGGGAATGAGACAGAAAAATATCACTGCCTGGCTAACGATGAATGGGTTGATTACCTCAGCTCAAGAAGTTTACTAAGCTCCTGATTTGTGCCACACAGGATAAAGGCATGGGAGGGACAAGGGTGAGTGATGACACGAATAAATTCATGTTCACTTCTGTTTGCTGGGTGCTTGCTGTTGCCAGGCACTACGCTAAGCCCTTTACCTCCAACACCTCATTTGACAACACCCCATAAGGCAGGTGTTGCTTACTACTGCTATTTAACAGATGAGGAAACAGAGGAAGTAAGGGCAGGGATCCCAGAATCCAGGCTGGTCCGTCTCTGAAGGCCAGGCTGTGGATCCGGTTCCCCGTGAAGATGAATAAATACTGGCATGAATGAGCAAAGCTGTGTGGGAATTTCCTCACTCGCAGACTGGTTGGTTTCCTTTGCAGGAGTGCAATCCCAGACACAGATGGCTCAGGTGCCAGGGCTGGTGGCCAGGCAGAACCAGACCAGGAGGAAGGGCCCTTAGATCCTGAAGAGGACCTCTCTGTGAAGCGGCTGCTTGAAGAAGAGCTGTCAAGCCTGCTGGATCCCCATACAGGTAGGGACTGCCCAATGCTGCCTCTGCCCTCTGGTCCCTTCAGGCTTCGGAGTTCTGCTCCAATCTACTAAGTTCTGGAAACATCCATTCTATTTCTGGGGAAGAACATTACTAACCTTGTACTTCCCCTGGAGCCTCAGAAAGTATTCCTGGGTTTAACAACTGCCTATTAATTGTAAAAATCATTGAAAATAGTGGTGATTACTGAGCTCTTGGTGTGTGCCAGCACTGAGGTGGTACCATCTACACATATCTCATTTAAACCTTCAAATAATCTCTCAAGGTAGATTTTATTAGCTCCAATTTACCGAGGAGCAGCTGAGGCTCAGAGAGAGATAATAGCCTACCCAGGGTCACCAAGCTCCTTAGCAATTGAAGGGGAGCCTAAACCTGGGCCATTCTTAATTCCTAAAGCACACATTTGCATTTCTTTGTTGTGTTTAAATACCCTTTCACCCTGGGAACTGAGCCAACTCTCTAAGTGCTTACACTACTAATTGAAACAAAAAGAATTCTGGGGGGTAGTCAAACAAGTAGTTTTAACAATAAATGCATAGTGTGAAATTTAATTCAAGGATCTGCTAGGTGCCCCAACCCCTGCTGTGGACACTGATCAAGCTCCTTTAGGTAACTCAGTGTGGGCCTGCCCATCCCCACACTGTAGTTAACAGTTTCTCACATGCGCCATCTGGTACAAACATGCAGAAGGCATGACAGGGGATGGTCCTTTCCTTGGTTTAGAAAATAAAGCCAACATTTACTGAGTAAGTTTTACAGCTAGTCCCTAAGTTCCTCATGAGGGACTCTTAAGAGAGAGGGGCTATTCATTACCCCCATTTCATAAAGAAAAAAAAAATGGAGGGTCAAGGGCGTGCAGCTAATGGTTATTAACACAGTCTGTGTAGCATGCCTCTAAATTTTTGAGCTGTGCTGTTCAGTGTGACAGCCACTGGCCACATGTGGCTATTTAAATCTAAATGAATTAAAATTAAATAAAATGAAATATTCAGTTCCTCAGTCATCCCAGCCACATTTTAAGTGCTCCATACCCACAGGGGATTAGCAGTTAAGCTTTGAATTCTATCTCCATTGGCCAGCTCTGGGACTCTCACCACAGCAGAGAGAGCACTGGGTGCCAGGACAGGAAGTGGGGGATAGGAAGTAAGGGTGGGGGGACAGGAAAGCCTTCACTGTTTATACGGCTGGACTGCCCTGAGGCTCCTGATGAAGGTGCCTGAGACTGGAGTCTTGGTGATATTTAGATAAAAGCTCCACTTGAGAATGTGACAATGACAAAATTTTACAGGTTACATGAGCTAACTGGATTCTCACAATAATGAAAGTTACTTTCTCACCACTTGTAAAGAGGGAAAGGAGGATCATAGAGGTTGAGCCATTTTCCCAAGGTCACACTGCCCTGAAGTGGCAAAGCTGGAACATTAAACCAGGTGAGACCAGTGCCTACCTGCAGCTGGAACTGGAGGATGATACTGAGTGAATACTCCACTTTTCAGTTGTTCTCAAATGCCCAATGATTTCTCATTTTCTCATGATGCTGAACCTTGTAAAAAGAAAGGCCTGATTTTTTTTTTACCACTAAGAGCTCCATCCAACCTGACAGCCTCAGAGTCTCAGGCAACAAGGGTCAAATGTCCTGAGTCAGTGTTTATGTTCACTAATACTTCAACAGACTGTCACTGTCCCAGGCATGGGGCCAGACCCCAGGATCCAGTAGGGCAGGGACCCAGTCCTATCTCACAGTCTGCACAGACCAAAACCAAATGCAAGACAGAGTCATTTATCAATATGAAAAATGATTAGCTGTACTTTGGAATAACATTTTCAAATTACAAAAGTAGTATTTGGTTAATGTAGAAAATACAGATACACAAAAGGAGAATAAATACTTCTACCCAAGGTTAATTTTGGCTAACAATTTGACCTATCTCCTTTTCCAATTTTTTTATTTTTGCACAAATTTTAAAGCAGTTCACCTGATGCAAACATTAAATAAATGTTAAAGTAGATGTGTGTCCTTCCAGACACTGTTTCTTAACCATAAGACTTACGCTTTCTTTCCTCTGGTTTGGCATATGCCATCAGGTCTGTAACTAGTTTTTTGAGACAAGATTTTCTGTTGAAGAAATGGGGAAAGAAGAAAGATGGTGTTATCAGGAGTCTCAGGGATAAACTTTGAATTCCCAGACTGCCTAATCACTGCCCCTGACCTGGTCCCTTTCCTGGGATAGCCCTCAGCTAGGCAGCCTCTTTCCAGCCTGACTCTGGGCCAGGGGTTCCTGCAGCTTGAGAGGTGAAGGTGTGAGGAGGTGGTCAGGGTACAGGGCCAGGTGGTGACAGTGCAGCCCTGGGCAGGCCTGGGAATTTTAGAGGAGGGCACCTGGAGCATCTAGGGAGAGGAAGGGCCTGCTCTTCAGAGGGAGCACACAGGGTGTTGCAATCCCAGGGGCTTCAGAGTCATTGGACCTGAAGTCAAATCTGGGTTTGGTGGCTTAGCAGATGTGTGATTTAACTTCTTTGAGGCTTAGTTTCCTCATCCATAAAATGAAGATAATACTCTTGACCTTAAAGTCCTATAAGGATATTAAATAATTATGTAAATCTTTTGGCACATAAGTACCTAACAAGTAGCCACTGTTATTATGAACAGAGGACAGCACCAAGCCAGGAACCCCAGGCTTGACTAAGAAAAGGGATTTCCCCCATCTTCAGCTGGCCCTGCCCTGGGGGAAAAAGTTTCCCCAAGGAGGTGGAAATCCTGGTTGCACAGGAGTGAGTAGAAGTTGTTCAGGAACAGGCTGGTTTCTAACTCTAGGCCCTCCTCTTCCTCCTGCTACCTTTTCACATAGCTCATCCGGGTGCTTCAGTCAGCAGCCTTCCTGCCCAGCAAGCTTCCCTGTCAGGGCCTCTTCCTTCCTGTCCCCCTCTCGCCACCCCGTCTGTCCCCTGACATTTCCCTTCCCTCCTTTGTCCACTGCCCTTGCCCTGCCCACAGCCCCCCTCAGCTGCTGGCCCTTCCCTGGGCAGGGCTCTCATTGACTCCCTTCCTCCCTCTACAGGCCTGGCCCTGGACCGGCTGAGCGCACCTGACCCAGCCTGGATGGCGAGGCTGTCTTTGCCCCTCACCACCAATTACAGAGACAATGTGTTCTCCCCTGACGCTGCAGCCCTGGAGGAGCCAAGGACCTTCCAGACGTTCGGCAAGGAGGMAGGGCCTGAGCTGAGCCCCACGGGCACACGGCTGGCCAGCACCTTCCTCTCAGAGATGAGCTCGCTGCTGGAGATGCTGCTGGAGCAACGCTCCAGTGTGCCAGTGGAGGCTGCCTCTGAGGCCCTGCGGCGGCTCTCCGTCTGTGGAAGGACCCTCAGTCTAGACCTGGCCACCAGTGCGGCCTTGGGCACAGAAACACAGGGGGCTCAGGTGGAAAGAAAGGGGCTAAGGGCAGGACCAGTGGCGGCAAGTGCCTGGGAACACACCTTGGAGGCCTCCATATCTAAGAACCAGGTCCCCTAGGAGATGTGAGCAGAAGCCTTAGGGATCGGCACGTGATCTGGTTCTAAAATCTTGGAACTCACCAACCAGAGGTAGCCCCAGAACTTTAGGGTGACTGATGTGGCCCCCACAGAGGGGTCTGATCAAAGCAACCCCTTGTAAGGGGCTCTGACTGTGAGTTTTTGGAGAACAGGGACAGTTTGTGGCTGAGGTGTTTGCTGACAAAACACATATAAAGGATTGGTTCTTCAGGCAGAACGGAAGCTATGGAGTATCACAAGCAGGAAGATGGCCTTGTTGGCTACTGGAAGAAGGGCTGGATCCTGGAGCACCAGGCAATGCTCTCTGACCTACCAACAAAGGAAAGGTAGCTGCTCATTCTCCTGTGTGCACCTATTGAGAGGGAGGAGGGAAGGGTGACAGAGCAAGAGTTCTTTGTCATCCAATCACTGGCAAAAAAGTCATTGGGTCTAGACAGGAGTGAGCCACCTTGGTTCACAGTGACAGGTATGCAGATGATGGATGTGCGTGTTCTTGACCACGCTTCACTGTTATCAAATAATCTGCTTCTCAGCTGGAAAACTAAGACTAAGAAAAGCACAGCTATAAATAGAGCACTTATATGAGCCAAGCAAAGGGCTTAACAATAGGATTTAATTGGATTTTCCTACAACCCTGGGAGGGAAGTATGATATCCCCATTTCATAGACAAGGATACAAAACTTGGAGAGGTTGAGTGTCTTTCCCAACATCAAGCCAGGAGTAGAGGCAGAGCCAGGATTTGGACCCAGGTTGGTCCAACACCAAAATCATGCCTTTAAATTTGGCACTAGACTGCCAGTCAAAGGAAAGAAAAAGAAAAGCCCTAGAGGTGGACAGTAGACTCGCCCGGTTCCCCCTGCAAAAATGCTCTTGAAATGGACACTTCCAAAGTCACTCAGGCTCACACAATTCTGCACTAGTAAGCACCGGGGGAAAGGAAATCGGATCTGACCTGACGCAGGTYCTGCCTTTCCCAGTGAGTAGCCTTTCAGGTGCTGAAGTCTTCTTACCTGACCCCTGTTTGAGGGTAAATCTTCCTCTGTCATAGCAGGTTCGGGCCTATGAATTCAGGCCCCAGAGGACTGTATGTGAACTTGGTCTATGAAATCGACACTGACAGCAGCCGACCTTCTGGGGAAGGAGGGAGTGAAGAAAGAGCAAGTATTTTCCCAAGGCTCAGCCTTATAATTTTCCAGGAAATTTCTAAACAGTCACAGCTAGTTTGTAAATAGCGTGGGGGCCCTCTTGGACCCCGAAGGCAGAAGATTCTCTAACTATTCTTCCTTTTGTCCTCTTTTGGAACTCAGTGCTCATGTCCATTGTACACAGAAATGGGCCAATCATACTCCCAACTAGGGATAATGAAGCCATACATATCCAGGGTGCCATGTGGTGTCATTATTCCATTTTACAGATGAGGAAAATGAGGCCCCCAAAAGTTAAGTGTCTCAGGGACAGAGAAGCTGGGGTCTCTGATCACCTCTCTCTGGGCCAGAGTGATCTCCTTATGAGAGCTGTGATATTCAAGCTGCTTCATGGAGTAGATGGGTTCTGCAGGTCACTGAAAGAGGCCAGGAGGTCTCCTGCTGACCAGCCAGGTGCCTGACACAAAGAGATACTTCACAAATACCTGTTGAATGAATGCATGAATGAATGAATAAATTGGTAAAACGAATGCTTCAGAATYCTCTCTTATCTAGACTGGAACTCTAGATAGAACTGCACTGGAAAAAAAATCCAAAAATGTTTAATTATGTAAAAGCAAAGTCCAAAAATGACAGAACTAGAGAAGCCCACATTGATCTACTTGCTCCTAGTAGATCTGCAGCTGGGAGGGTGGAGAAAAGAGGAGATTGGGGGAGGAGGCTGGACCACAGCTGCAACCGGCTCATTGCATACTCAGGATGACTGCATCCATCACTCTAGTTCAAAAGCTCTCAAACTGTAGTCCTTGGACCCCTGAATACCAGAAAAATTTTTATATAGGCATTTTTCAGGCAAAAGGCATAAAGTTCTTATCAGATTCCCAAGGGAGCTTGTGATCTATAAAAGGTTATGTCTAAACCTCCAGACAAGGGCCATTGTCGTCATAAGGAGTCTGAATTTTAGCTATTTCAACTCTTCATTTTACATCCAAGGTTATAAAAAGACAGAAATGGAAGAAAATTTGCCCAAGGCCACATGGCAGAGCTGGGATCAGGATCTGGGACTTTGTATAGTGTTCTTTCTAATATATCAAGGGTTCTTAACCTGGGGTCCTTGGCTGGCTTCAGGACACATGAACCTGATAAACTGCACTCAAAATTGGGAGCATATCCATTTTTCTTTGGAAATAGTAGGTGCTTTCATTAGATTTCCAAAGGGGTCTATGACTGAAAAAAGATTAAGGGCTGGGCATGGTGGCACAAGCCAGTTATCCTAGATGTTTGGAAGGCTGAGGCAGGAGGATCCTAAGTTCGAGGCCAACCTGGACAACTTAGCAAGACTCCATCCCAAATTAAAAATAAAAAGGGCTGAAGATGTAGCTAAGAGGTACAGCCCATTGGAAGGACCACAAAAAATAAGTAAATAAAAAAGATTGTATAGCCAGAGGAATGAGAAGTTGTGCTCCATTTGTGTACGATGTGTCAAAATGCATTCTACTGTCATGTATAATTAAGTAGAACAAATTTTTTTAAAAAAAGAAAAAAAATTTAAAAAATAAAAAACAATAAAAACCACTGCAATCCTCCAGGTTGATCCTTAGCCCTGCAGAACCCAGAGAGTGAGACAGTGTATAGGATGACAGAATTGGGTGTGCTGAACAGGAAGGTTACCGAAACTTCTTGACATCAGCCAAGATGTCAAAGCTGAGATTTTGGACATGCTCAAAACAATTTTAACCAAGATGGGCTCTGTCCCCTGGGAGGAAGAGGGAGTATGCGAGCCAGCTAGTACTCAGTTAAATGTCTTCTTAATTTGGAAAGCACAGAGGGACACTTTTTATCAATAGTCAGCCTTTCTCTAGCATCAGGAATGCAATGCAGTGCTCGCTTGGAGCCTGGGGGCAGCTCAGAGATTGACAGGCAGCCTCCTTGTCTGTCACCCAACTTCAGCTAGGCAGCTCACTGACCCTACCTCTGCTCTGGCTGAAACAACAGAGATGAAAAACACTTCCCTTGGAACTCTAGAGAAAACCAAATCCCCAAAAGAAGATAGGAACAGGGTGGAAGGAGACTTAGCACAGGATCAGCTCAGCACATAGTATGTACCTAGAAAATAGGACAGTGTTTTCTAGTCCCTACTAAATAGAGTCTAATGTAATAGAAGGGCACAATTAGAAATATTCACCCATCAAACATTTTGTATTTATTGAGCAATTTCTAAGTGCCATAAGTAGCAAAGAATCAACAGTGAAAGGGCATGTGAAATCATTCATCCATCATATTCAACAATTGTTTAAAGCACCTACTATGTGCTAGGTAGGCTTGGTGCTGGGCTTTGGGTAGAGAGGGTGTGTATATAATCATTCTCATTTTATGAATAAACATTTACTGAACTAAGTGCCTACACTGTA